TGGGCTGGCAGAGAATTAACCATCCTGCAACAACTCTGCAGGAGCTATGGAGAGAGTCCCCAGGTGGCACAGGGGGAGTGGTTGCACTGATCCCTGACCTCTGTCAGGATTTGCCACACGGGCTCACTCGCTGACCTCTCTCAGCTCTCAGAGTGTTCAACAGACAAGCACCATGGCATCAAACAGCCCCAAAAAGAGGGGCCCACAGTTGGGAAGCACCTTCAGAAAGTCCACAAGGCAGCTTGTGCACCCAGGGTTATATCGTACCTCAGTATGAAGCTCACAGTCAGAGATAGAGTGTAGAGGGAGCTTTACTCTGTATCTAACCCCATGCTGTCCCTGTCCTGGGAGTGATGGGACAGTGTAGAGGAAGCTTTACTCCGTATCTAACCCCGTGCTGTCCCTGTCCTGGGAGTGATGGGACAGTGTAGAGGGAGCTTTACTCTGTATCTAACCCTGTGCTGTCCCTGTCCTGGGAGTGTTTGATGGGGACAGTGTAGAGGGAACTTTACTCTGTATCTAACCCCGTGCAGTCCCTGTCCTGGGAGTGTTTGATGCTGATACTGGTATCTATCGGTTCCATAACATACAAAACACAACAAAGTGAGTGGAATGAAAACAGTTCACAGGAAAAGCCCTGAACCATGCGATATTTTCTCTGTTCAGTTTCCCCACCTTTACCACAATTCTAAGCGCCTGTGGCTCACTTTGACTTATGTGGCCACTCTCACCCCTTTCGATGAGCGGGCATTGAGAGAAGATATTCCTCAGTCAGTAAATCCAGGGTTGGGTAGGGGGGAGGACAGTGTGAGCCTGGCTTGAGAACTTCTGTTTGTGTGCAGAGTTCAATCCTTGCTGCATCTCCTGGCCCAGGAGCCCCTTAAAACCTCAGCCAGATATCGAGCTTTAAATTGCTGACCTGGGACCAAAGTTTGCTGCATTCCCCAAGTCTTAAATTGGTCTTAAAGATCGAAATAATAATAGAGACAGTAAAGACTTTTATAATAAGGATCGCACAGTCATTCCAGTCCAGTGGCCTACAGTGTGACCTTGCAGTTACATGTTCTTCAGTCTGATTTTTAATGAATTGCTTTCATGAAAAAAAGATGTACATTAAAACATTAAATCTGATTCAAAACTAATAATGGAGCTTCTTTTTTCTTGCTTCTTTCTATGAAACAATTTATTAATTTTTAACCACTTTATAACCTCCTTTGTCAGTTTGGATATTACCCTAATCTTTTGAAAGTTGGCTTTGTTGAATTCTGGCAGACGGAGTGGGTAGATAAATTGGAAATTCTTCTTTTTGTGGGTGATACGACAAAATTAATTTTCCGTGTCCTCTCGACCGATTGGACTGGCTATAAGAGGCCGACCTCATTTCAAACCAGTGACGGTAAAACCGATTGATTTGCCAGATGTGATTAATTACTCCAACTTCGCTCATCTTGTGTGGGATGTTCTTCTGTAAATGTTCACCACCATCCGCCCCCACCCACCCCCTTCCCATCAACCCCCACCCTCGCCCACAAGTTGCCCAGTGTGTGACCCGTGTGTACAGAGAGGAAGGGCACAACAGTGAAGAGCCATTTTCTGATTCCTCCAGAGGCTCCGAGCTGTTTACTGCTGACTGTACTCGCTGAGGGACCACAGCTAATCCCCACAACAAACCCCCTAGTCTCCTCCTTTGAAATGGTCACCGACAAAATATCAAGGGTTAAACATACCCTCACCATCCCCGTCCCGATCCCCACGCCCATCGCTATTCCCCATCCCCATCCCATTCCCCTACCCCATCGCTGTCTCATTCCCCTCCACCAACACTATCCCCTCCCCCATCACTATCCCATTCCCCTCCCCATCACCATCCCCTCCTCCACCACTATTCCCTCCCCAACACTATCCTATTCCACACCCCATTCCCGTCCCATTCCCCTCACCCAACACTATCCGCTCCCCCATC